AGAGACAGAGACAGAGACAGAGACAGAGACAGAGACAGAGAGAGCACCTGAGGGAGCTTTGCTGTATTTTAGATATGTTTTGTTCCATGTGAGTTTATGTGCTGGAGATTCTGCCCTTATAGCAGTGTGAGGGGCAGTACCTCATAGGATGCCATTGGACCATTGTGGGTATCACTCTCATGAGAGATTAACATACATTTGATGGGGACTCCCACCTAGATACAATATTGTAAGTCATTATAAATGATCAAGGGTGTGCCCCCGCTTCTGGCTTTCTGTCTCATGATTTGATATCTCCTGCTTTCATCTGATTCTTGCCAAAATGCCATTCTCCATGAGACCCTCGTGAGATGCTCAACCAAAAGAATGCCTTTTGCATGCAACACTAAATAAACCTCTTTTCTTAATATTCAGTCTTATTTTGCTTATCAATAGAAAAGTAACTAATGAGAAGAATTCAGTTCTCCTTTTTATGATATGAGAGCATAGCAAAAGGCATCATTTATGAGGAATAAATTCTTATCAGATGGCAAAATCTGCTTACACCTTGATCCTGGATTACCCTGTCTGCATAGCTGTGAGAAATCAATGTCTGTTGTCGATAAGTCATTCCATTTGTGAGATTTTTGTTGTAGCAGTCCGACTAAAACAATGACATTCCTCTCATTAAGAGAGTCTGCTCTCCCTCTGCTTAAATCAGGGTCAACTCATGACTTTTTTTCTCCCCCAGAATGTAGTGGAATTGACACAGTGTCTGCTCCAGGATAAAATCTTAAAATTTTACTTCTCTTGCTTCCTTGAATCACTACTTGAAGAAGTTCAGGTCACCCAGTTATCAAGGAAAATTACAAAAATGGAGCCACACAAAGGAAGACCGAGATTCTAAGTTCACAGTCAGAACCAAGACTCAGACAGACATATGAGTGAGGCTACCTTGTACTTTCCAGCCTATAGCCAGTCAATGCAACCATGTAAACCAATGTAGCCCATCCCACATGGATCAGAGATGAACTATGATTTTTAAACCTCACCTACAAGTAGATACAATTACCTTTCTCTCCTCCCTCTTGCCTGGGCCATAAAGTATACTATAAATAGTATATGAGGTGGTTTGAAAGAAAATGGCCCTAATAAGGAGTGGCACTATTAAGAGGTGTGGCCTTTTTGGAGTAGGTGTGGCCTTGTCAGAGGAAGTGTGTCACTGTGGAGCAGGTTTTGTGGTCTCCTATGCCTACACTATACCCAGTGTGACACACAGTTGCTTATGCGGGCTGTAGAACTTCTAGCTTCTTCCCAAGCATCCAGTCTACTTGCACACCACTATGAAAATAATGGACTAAACCTCTGAATCTGTAAGCCAGCCCTGATTAAATGTTTTCTTTTATAAGAGTTTCCATAGCCATGATATCTTTTCACAGCAATAGAAAACCTAAATAAGACAGTATAGTATAGTATAGTATAGTATAGTATAGTATAGTATATAAAGTTGCAGTCAGGCAAGCCGTCATGATTAAGGTACAGTCAGTGGATCAGAAGAGAAGTGATGCTTCCCACTCATGGGCCAGATCCTCACAAACTGCCTATGGTGAATCTCTACCCTGTTGTCCTAAATCTTAGCTTGGTAATAATGAATGTCTTTGGAACTATGCATTGAAAATAGTCCAGCCACAAGTTATAAAGAGCCTAGTTTTCTGAATCCTTACATTGAAATCTCCCATTCCTTAGAGACACCTGCTTTGGAGCTAGAAATAATCTGCCATGTTTCACTACTACACATGTTGAAGTGTATTTCTACTAATGCAACATTGTAGATATGGCACAAACAATGCATTTCTAGGCTCCTTACATTGGAACTACAAAAGAGTATTATTGGATTATGACTGTCTACACACCATATGTTGGAAACTTTAAGCTGGTATCAGCAGTTAAATTAAGTAAACCCATGTAGTCTAAACAGTGCTAGTTCAGGGCTCTCTGGAATATTACCCCCCAGTTCTTTCTACCTATCAGATCCACCAGCAGAGGAAAACAACCTCTAGTCTGCCAATGTCCTGACAGAGGCAAAACTACATTCTTTTATGTAGTGGAACTTGGCTTTCAGTTTTTTGTGGGACCAAGGTATTCTGTATCCCTCCCTAGGGCTGTGTGTGTGTGTCCCCACCTCAGTGGCTAGGCTCTGAAGTCTGAGAACCACCTGAGGAGTTCTGAGAGCAAACACAAGGAGATCCCATGGGATTATTGGATGTTCTTTCCAGAGTAGTTTTTTTTTATTTCACTTCTGTGGGTTCAGTGTTGCTGGGTAGCTCATGACCATATACTAGACTGTGCAAATGTCAGTGCCACTGTTCATCTAGCCTGAATGCTCTCTTCAGCCTTGCCCCAGGTTTTGCATTGTCTTCATCCACTCCTGTCAACTTGGAGCTGTTATTTCATGCAGTAGTATTGATGTCCTTATTCACAAATACCCTTATGAGCCAGATCTCTGGAAAAGGAGTTATCAGCCCCTACCCATATGTATTGTGGTGCTGTTTCTTCCCTGAAAGACCAGCACCTCTCTTTTCTAGGCCCCAGGGATTTCTCTAGCACCAAAGATTCCTCAGCCCAGGCTCAGGATTTGATATCCTTTCAGACTACCAAGGGAATGGAGTATCAGAATCTGTGGACCTCATATTTCAACTTCCCTGTGAGACATGTTTTAAGGGTCTCTGTAGTTGATTTAATGGTGACTCACTAAAACATAGGTCCACTTGGAAACTGTGATTGTGACCTTATTTGGAAAAAGGGTCACTGCAGTTGTAATTGAGTTATGGCTGTTGAGATGAGATCATCCTGTACCAGAATAGACCTTAAATCCAATATGAACTCTCCTTACAAGAGAGGATAAGTGAAGAAGAGATGGAGAAAGTAATGTGAAGACAGAGGTAGAAAATGAAGTATTGTATCTATAAGTCAAGAAGCATCAAGGATGAACCAGAATGGGGTCTTGGGATAGATTCTTGATCAGACTCTACAGAACGCACAAAGCCTGCCAACACTTTGGTTTCAGATTCCTGGCTTCAGGCCTTGGGAGAAAATATATTGTTTTAATCAATTAAATCTGTGGTCATTTGTTACGGCAGTCTTAGGATACCAATGCAGGTATTGTACACACTTCCTGAGGGACTCCTAGGGGTTTTGCTCCGGTTAACATATCTTTTGTTAGCTTCTCTTTCCAGTTTTACTTTTCCTACTTCCTCATTTGAGCTACATTGGATCTGCATCATAATCTCAATACTTGCTTTTAACAGAATAGAAAGAGAAGTTTACACTATAAGGAAAATCCATATTCCATTATTAGATTCACCACTTTCCTTGCTTCTTTTTTATTTTTCCTCCATCTCTTTTCTTTGTCTACCATCCATGATTACTTCTAGTCAGTGCCTGTTGATTAATTTACTATTGAATATATGGGTGAAAAAGGAATCCACCCAACTTTAAGAAAATCAGAAATTGTAGACAGGGAAAGGGTTAGTTTCTAGAAACATTCTTTATTATGCTACTTCCTTGGGAAACAACAAAATGGGCAACCTTACTCCTCTCTATTGTACCTATATTTCCTTTACCCCCCAAACATCTCAAAGCTATATATGGTTCAAAAGCAATCCATGATCTCTGCACATTGTACCTTTGAAATTGAACTGTTTATTCCATCAGGGTCATACCACAATTCCCCCAAACTATGTGTCCTTTTCTCTGGGTCTGTTTGACCTTTGGATACCAGCCATGTCCACCATTAGCCTGGCCTGCTACTGTCAGGGTCATGGGTGGGATAAAGGTGTTTGTTCCTCTTCATGCATCTGAGGCTGTCTTTGAGCACATTATAAAGCAGTGGGATTTGGGCATTAGTTGCTGACCTTCATTGTTTGAGCTATCTGCTCTTCTCTGTCAGAACTCATTGTAGATATTTAAAGTGAACTGTTAGTTTCACATGAAAGTGCAGGAAAGTTTGTACTCAGAGAGTAGTTCAAAGTCTATTCATACCTGTCACCTGTCATCTACTTTCTAGTTTTGATTTGTTCTAATTTTAATTAAAAAGTTTCAAGTATCTCATCCACTGTTATACAATTTTGCATTCCATATGGCTTCTTGGATGGAGTGGAAACAACCTGGGTAGAAGGAAAGAGAGAGAATCTTGAATGTTTAACAGTTTAAGCAAGAAAGCTTTAAGAAGATGACCCAATCCAACTGCCTTGCCACACAGAAAAGCACAGGCTCAGAAAGAGTAGGGTGAGGTCTCCAAAAACAAATGACAATCACAGAAAAATCACAGTTCCCTAGAACTGAAGGGAAGGCTCCACTTTCTCAGCCATAGTGCTTCCATGAACAA